CATGAACAGATTTGTGTATTTAAAGACCGCCTGTTTCTACGATAGAAAAGGCAGACTTCAACAGACAGTATTTCAATATACTTGGTTGAACGGTTACTTCTTTGTTCCTCAGTACACCCTCGAAGCCTCCTTTAGTTCTCAGCTCTCACCTCCTTTCTGGAAGAGCAGGCTACCTACCAACTATCATATCTATTACCGTTAACGTGATTAGCACTTTGCAAACACGTTACAGTAGAGACTATTTGGAATTCAATTAGGATGCACTGTTTAGATGGCTTAGTTCATAGTATGCTAGAATATCTTGAAGTAGTTATTGCAGTAAGTGGTATGGATATACCATTCTAGAATAGGAAAATCTTGTGCTTTCCGATTACTTTTTTTCTTACGTTAAAATTGAAACCTAATTGGCTGCTCTCCAGTAGCCAGTAGCAATAATTGGTCAAATTAGCGTTTTTCCGATCATTTTTGTCCACACCCTGGTACGTTAGGCCCAGCAAACAGCTCATCTCAGTTCATCTCAACCCCAACATGCAATACCCGATTCAATCAAAACTTCAACTGTCTCTTCTGAGCAGCTCAAATCAAGCCACTACGAAGTAAGTTACAGGCATTAAGCATAGTTGCAACGAGACTCCACAGAGTACTATTACAGTTGACTAAACCTATACCTATACCGGTATCAAGAGACTACCATGGTAGGAATGGTGGTAGACTAGAGTCTACTGGCAAGAGGTACTATTGGTTATGTACCTCGGTTGGGCATGCTATACTATACTAAGAAGTATATGGGTACTAGTAAGGAGCGGTATTTACCCTACTCAGTAGGGTAATCTAAGTAGTCAATTTGGGAGTTACCGTGAATTACTCAACGGTGAGTCTGGGTAGAGTTACCCTACCTTCGGACTAAAGTTACCCTACCTTAGGCTATGGGTTACCCTATTATGGAGCCAAGTTGCCCTACCTCAGATGTAACTTGTTATGTAGGATTTCGGAGTAAGTTACTAGATTGTTTGTCACGCGAAACTACATAGTGTATTTGAATCTCAGGTTGTACAAATCACTTCCGTGCAACCAGTTGAGCTCCAAACAAGCTGTAACTTGGAGGTATGGTGGCTAACACCCCCTTCCAGCCCTGTTATAAGTCACTGGCATCATAGGCTATAGCCTGGAAAGTTGCTGTAAGCCTAGTAAATATCTTCAGGTAGAGATGCTCCTGTAATACTGTATACGTTCCCACCGTCCGTCCGTCTGGAAGCTGTCTGCCGGATATATGAGGGGGTACAGGTGAAGCTGGAGAATGGTCTCTAGGTGGTTTCATGTAAAATAGGCCAGAATTGATGGAGTAATACTACTTTGAAGTCTAAGGTAGTATGTGAGGTTACCAAAGGCTAGTAGGCAAGGTAACTGAAGTCCATTGCCCTGAAAGTATAATAGTATTGGAGAATCGTTAGGGATTCTGAGACACTAGTCTAAGGTCACGATAAGACCTGTTTCTAGGAGGGTTGACTGTGAGTAGCGCCTATTAGTAGTCAACATCCGAAGGGGTCTATCAGGGAAGCTAAGTGGCCATCATCCGGAATAATATAGAATAGAGTAGAACTAGATAGATGTTCAGGGACTGCAGATCCTTGTAGAAGACTAAGTATACATGGATAGAAAGTTCTATAGTTGGTATCGCATCTACTCGGACATGGCAGCTCACTACTGACATGTCCACGATATGAAGAGTTTTTACTCCTGCGGTTACATTGTAAATGCAGCGGCTAAAATGCTTCTATTGGGTAGATGTAAGCAAACCACAAGAGTAGTTTAGTTCGCTACGAGGAATCTTTAGTCTAACCCGTGGAGGTTAGCTAGTCAGCCTAAGGGAGTTGGGTGCTCGCAAATACAGAGTAGTGATGGGGAGCAACTGGTAGTTTATGAAATCTACTTAAGTATATGTAAGTTCTCCTCTACTCTGCCAATCAACTACCTCTCAAGATCAGGACTTAATTGAGTAAAAGCTGTAGTTTAATGATATTCAGTTTTACTGTTTTGTTTCTTCAAACTCTACTGTTAAGACTTTTAAAATTTATTATATTTGTTTACTTTGTGGAAGAATTCATTTTAGTGCAGTCGCAACCTTGGGATCCATCTTCCCAGAAAGAGCCCCCATTACAATAGTGAAGGTTGCGGAAAATCATCATATTCCTTCGTTTATCCCAGTTTTCATAGAACTTCTAGTGATTTTAGTAAGGGCATTAAGGGGAGTCTTATTCCAATCAAGGAAGAATGGTTGCAAGCATTGTAAGGATTTGATGGCTAATGGAGGTGAATCTGAATGTACCTAAACTACAATGTTTGACAATACAGATAGATTTTATTCTTTGTATTGATGATAGAGATCAAAGCAAAACCCACAGCAAAGAGGAACTTTACAGTAACTACATTCAAAAGATATCTGTCGTACCTTTCTCTTAGATCCTTTGAACTAATTATTGAAAATTGATACATGTGTAGGTGACTTTAACAGATAGCATCAGAAGAGACAAAAGGGAGAGGAGCGCTTAGGAGAGGAATACTGAGTTGATTGCTGAAGGGAATGTGTAGTAGGAGCAAAGCAAGCAGGAAGGGGAAGATAATTTTTACCTACATAACCAGCCTACCGAGCCTCCACTGTGTTTCCTTGTGGAATACTACCCAGACAATTTTGACCAGAAGTAGGACGATTAGTTTGACTTTGCACCTTTCATGCAAAGGTAGGATTAATAGACTGAAAGCCAGATAAGACTAGGTTCCAGGCAAGGCAGGTCTGGTAATGACCATGACGTTGTAAGAATGTTGCATTGTATAGAGGATTTGGTATAGATTCCTGTACAATTAAATAGGAGTTAATGATAACAGTATCCAACAGCTAAAAGAAAATTGGAAACCAATTTCTGCATACCTGAAGTTGAGTACTATAATAACTCCTCTGCTGATCAGCAATATTGACTCTGCCCATAAAGTCATTGTAGTCTACCAAAAACTGAGGAAGAAGTAAACATTGTACTGGATCGGCTCTCCAACCTTGCTCAATCAGGTTCCGATTAGTATTAGTAATGTGAGGTTTTTGCCAATTTCGATAGGTATAGTTTTCTGGCCCTAGAGTAGCTTCATGGGCAGTACTCAAAAAGTGAACTAATTTCTTATCCTGCCATTCTAAAGCTAGAACATCTCTACAAACAATACCAGATACAGTATTCTATGGTAAACTAGTATTCTGTTTGTTAAATTTAAACAACTTAGGATAACGAGCAGAATTGGTTCAGACGTTACCACAAGTACTACTTTGATATTCTCTAAGTGCTGCGAAGAGGGGAATATTGCTCAAATGGTTATCATAGTAAAGAGTAAAACAGAACAGTTGTGTGGGCAGAGTTGTAGCCAGTTGAAAGTCAGCCTAAGACGTAGGTGATAACTACTCTGTTCTATGGTAAAGAGATACCATATTGGAAAAGAATTCAGAGTTTGAAGTAAACATGAAACTAAACATATAGCCATGTTAACATAATGCAAAAATTTTATATCCCTGAATGATTGGTTTCCCCTTTATCATAGTCATATGATTTGATTTTCCAGTAAAGTAAACCATCATTTTATCAATTGATACCTCAGTAGCAGGTCAACAGTAATACTGAAACCAGCGCTGAAGGTTATATGCTAGAGATTGAAGCTTATACAACCACTTGGAAGAGGGGAGAGGAGATGCTTGTAGAGGAGAAACATGAAAGAATCTTTTTAATTGTTTAAAGCGAAAGAGCGTCCTATAGCGAACAATTTCATAAAAAGGAAACTCGTGATTTTTTGTCCAATAGAAATGAATACTGGTTCCTCAGTGAACACCTATATAGATTAATATACCGCAAAATATCTTCAGTTCTGCAGCACAAGTTGGCCTCTATGGTCTACCATGTTTTCCAGCACTCTTCTGTTCAGCAGATAAGTTTGTATTTCGAGCTAAGACTTCAAACTCAGTATTGGTAAAAAATAGCTGAAAAAGCTGGAGTAGAGATGACTAAGCAGTATCTTTATTTTCAGCTGAAGTACAATAATGATTATCAGAAAAGTAGACACTTTGATCATAGCGGGAGGCTAGTTGCTGGAATGACTGAAACTGTGGTACTTCTGGAAGTAAAATATTTCTGTATTGAACCAGCTGTGGAAGATCTATTAGAATGGCTTTTATCAGTATAAAGAACACTACAAACTAGAATAGTATAAAGTATCTTCGATCTGCTCATCTGCTGGTATGTCATCTCACTTCTTACCCTCCTCAGATTCAGTACCTGAATCATATGCTTCAACCTCTATCTCCTTCTCCGAGTCATCAAGATTTAATGGTAGCGCATGTTTGCCTGAAGGATTCCATGTGTTCAACACATTCTCCTCCTCATCTATAGAGACCATTGGAGCTTTTTAAAAGAGACTTCAGCAAGCTTATGAAGAGAGCTTCCTGAATGTCCTCCTCTCCTCTGTGAGGTACTTGATGTGTAGGAGAGTGAGATTGAAAAGCAGGCCTCAAACTGGGTTGGGAAACCGGATTGGAGGATGAATAGGCAGGTGAATTGGAAGGGTGAGTTGGGAAAGTGGGTTTCAGGTTTGATGCTTATGGTGGTAGGGATTCAACTCAGTATGCGGGATCTGACCTGCGGCATACTTCCTATTATTTCTCTTGTTAGTATCAACATATATTTTAATTTGAACCGAAACATACGTGAAGTGCTTGATGTTCACATTAGTAAATAATCTACCCATCTCTCAGTCAACCTGATGGTGGTTGCAAGTCTCCGCCTAATTCCCGGAATTTCCTGGGAGGAGCTGATGGTGTGTGCTAGCTCCAATCTAGCTAAAGGCTTTGCCTAGCGTGGTGCTTGAAAACGCACGAAGGGATAGCATCATCTCAATTCTAGGGTTAGGGTCGGGTCAACATTCATTCATTCATTCATTCATTGAATTTTTGCCAATTCTCCAATCCCGAATCCCAACCTTGAATTCAGAGTTGCCTCCACCACCCCCACCGTCCATCCGTGCGGAGCCACTTCACATAATGAATACCGCACTCCGACTCCATCCACTACTTCTCCGTCCGCCCCCGCATTTCTCATCACGAAGCCTCAATGCCCGCCGATCCAGCCTCCTTCACCTTCTCCTACAATCCTCCTATTCAACAGTCTCAACACCAACACCACCGCTCCCAAAGCCGAACCGGGACCACCCCCCCCCCCCATTAAACCGCCCCATAGGCCTCCCATACCCACCGGAACCCCTCCTGCCGAGCCCTAACATCAGCGCAACAGGAAAAAACGGCTTCCGCACCCTTAACCAGATCTACACAGACCTCCGCGACCCGGGACGAAACCTTGCGAAGCGGCGACACCTAACGAAGGAGCTGGCGAAGCCCTACTTCCGTGATATCAGTCGTCTGTCCGTAACGGATAAGGGGAAGTCGTTCATTGCGCCACAGAGATTGTTCAAGAGCGAGCGTGCGCTTTGGTTCCCGAACTTGAATGGCCGGACGCTTGTCGCGGCGGGGAAGGATACTACGGGTGTGCTGAGGGGTAGAGTGTCGATTGTTGCGGTATTTTCCGGCACGTGGGCGGAAAGGCAGGTTGAGCTTTGGGGGCTTGATGAGGTTGCGGGTATGGCACGGGAGGCGGGAGGGGAGGAGGGGGTGGTGGGGAGGATGGATATCAATGTTGAGGAGAACTTGCTCAGGTATTGCATTGTTATGATGTTTCGGGGGAGACTTATGAGGAGGATGGAGGAGTCGCGCTGGGGGAGATACTTCATTATTAAGGAAGGATTGGGTGATGAAACACGGGATCAGATGGGATATCATAATTCTAAGGTTGGGTATGTGTATTTGCTGGACGAGGAGTGTAGGATTCGATGGGCAGGGTCTGGGCCTCCTATGGCATTGGAGAGGGCCGCTTTGATTAGGGGGGTTAAGAAGCTGGTTGCTGATTCGAAAAGGAAGCCCGGTGGAGTGAGGGCTGGTGGGAAAGAAGGAGAGGGGGTAAATATGGGAAAGACATAGATAGACAATAAATGTATCACATCATTAAGATTATATTCTGTAGTTATAATTTCCTTTCTCCCGTCATGTATAGTACAATAGCCAAACCAGCGCCAATACAATCCACAAGAACGAAAAGAAAAATGGCCGGTCCTTGCACATGACCTACAAGTACGCTGAGACCTAAAACAAACAGACAAAAGGTACCCAATCATGCCTTCTACGGCGACGATGGCATAGCCACTGAACACCCAAAACTCACTCTATCGAAACCATAAAACCATCAAGAAACAAGCAGCAATCAAACCGGCCAAAATGATACTGTCCCTCTTCTTCCTAGTGTTAATCTTCGCAATGATAGTATTGATCCCTGGAATTTGGCTAGCAGAGTGCACAATCCTTCGATTAATGCTTCCTAGTAGCTGTCTCTGATCCGTAAAATCTGACTGGATAGCATAAGCTTGACTCAGGACTGAATCAGCAACATTATGAGAGTTATCAATGCGGTCACGCTCATCTAGCATGTAGTCTGCCTCAGATCTGCCTTCTTCAATCCTAGAGGCCGATCGGAAGGCATTGATATCGTCGCGGACGGATGATAAAAGATGTGTGCGTGAGCGGGATTCTGAGACGGTGCCTTTGAGACGGACGAACTCGTGGCGATGGTCTGTGAGAGTGGAACGGTGTAGAGAAAGATTTTGAAGTTTGGTGGCGGAGGAAGTTAACGCCGTTTCGGAGTCTAGCAGTCTAGAGAGAGAGGAGACGACGGTTTCTCGCTGGGGGCGTTAGCTTTGGGGGTGTCTAGAAGGATAGACCGGTGTACTTTTTGAAGGATCTCTTGGAGTTGAGATTCTGTTCGGAGCTCCGCTTCAGAAGGCTTTGCTGCAGGGTTGGAGACGAAGGAAGAGTAGGTGTGGAATAAGTTGTCAGTCTATGTTCATATTAGCAAGGTTCCTTATCTACACAAGCATATGGGTCGGCTAACTTGAGATTCTAGAGAACGGGCCTGCTGTCTGAGCTGGGCCCAGCTGTTCGAGGTAGAAGTTGTCATGAATAATACTTGAAGAGCGAATAGATCGGGTGTTAGAGAGCTCTTGTTTGAAGGGTCTCATACGTCTTTTGTCGCTTCCTGTTGGAGCATTACGAGTACTTCTCGGTCGCCTGGCTTTGTCATTGTGCCCTTTCATCTGATTAGATCGTTGTCTTATCTGATCCTAAGTGGCAAGGGCAAACCCTAATCTCTTCCACAGACTGCTCCCACACAAAAATGATAATTGGAGCACCACTAATTCTGGGCAAGCAATGAGGCAAGTCTCAAGTTGACCAATTCACGACCGACGACGATAATCGCCCATCCAACACCTGACAAATAGATCTAGCATCTCGCCTTCACCATGGTATGTCAATTTCTATCCTCCGCTACAATCCGGACCAAGTAAGGGGAAGAGTGAAATGCTGATGGAATAAAATTGTATAGCCCGGAGTCAAGACCTCAACCTTGTGGACAAAGTCCAAAACCGACCTCAATAAACAACTCGAGGAGCTCAAGCAGGAGCTTGCAAACCTTCGTGTTCAGAAGATCGCCGGTGGTGCTTCATCCAAGCTTACAAAGATGTAATTTTCCATCCTACACAACGGAACCATGTCTGCAGACCTTAAAACTAATGAAAAATCCAGCCATGATGTTCGCAAGTCCATCGCCCGCGTCTTGACCGTCATCAATGCTACCCAGCGTCAACAACTTCGCATCTTCTACAAAGGGAAGAAATACCTGCCTCTCGATCTCCGCCCCAAGCAGACCCGCGCTATTAGGAGGAGGTTGACCAAGCACGAGGCGGGATTGAAGACTCTGAAACAGCAGAAGAAACTTACGCATTTCCCTAAGAGGAAATACGCTATCAAGGTGGGATTACACTCCTAATCTGCTTCGAATTTTTAGGCTGGAGGGATTCGCAGTGGTGTACAGGAGCAGAGGCATGGAATACCGGCTTGAAATCTTAGACTGCTAGTCCGCTACAGGAGTACGGGGGGGCTTATTCTTGTGGATCTTTTACTGACATAATCTCCAAACCTAGGCATAAGCGTGTTTTTCCTTTTTTCTGCTTTGGATGTTCAAAACTGGGTGGTTTAAAAAATACAACTTGGTTCACTTGGGCGAGCGGCTTCTCTCCTTTATGGCCATGTCATGGGCGTCAATTTTTTCCCCTTTTACAACAAATACAAACCCGAATATACATGAGGGCTTCCAAATGTGCGTAGGGTGGTTTTAGTTTTCTTTGGTGTCAGATCTTTTGTTAGTGACTCTTACCAAAAAAAACCTTGTAATCTTAGCTATGAAGTACGGTGAAGACCTCATGGAGTAACTCTTGATAAACTGTTAGGATCGTAGTGTTGGCTTAGCGCGCTCTCGCTACGGCAGTCACTTATCGCCGGCTTGCACTGCATATTGGTATCCACCTACCCTGCCTGTTTCTTCTCTACCCCCTTCACTCCCCCCACTGCTATTCTATATCCAAGCACATAGGCGGCCATTGTTATTTCCCTAGTAGGTGGGACACTAACCTGTTAGGAGTTATCGTTAGCGCATCACTTGCGGGATATTGGAAATGTTCTTGAAATGCCCTCCGCGCGACTCTCGAACTAGAAGTTACAGGTGAAGTTTAAGAGAAATGAACCTTACTAGAGGTTCGAGTGAGAATTGATGTCGCCCCGGTTTTGAGCAACCATTGTTGTGCTAAGATCTTTGACCTCTTCGGTTTTGGGATCCGACCTTGCGTATAATACGAGTACGATACGCTGTTTATCTTCCGAGTGCCACATATTTCTACTATGCACATGCCATTATCTGGGTTGTGCAGGTGATACCTAATGAAGGAGAGCCTCATCCACACAACCACTACGGCAGAGTTTGTTACCCGGCGGCATGGATCAGGGGCCCGACCCCACTAACGGTTTTGGATGACCACTGCTGCCCCACCAGACTTTTTCTTTGTTTATCATACCCCAACATCCTAAATACCTTTTCTCTGCGTCAACCGACCCCTATTCTGATTCTACAGATAGTAAGAAATTACGCTTGCTTCGTTTCGGTTAGAAGGATATCTCGCGATCTACACGCAGGACCTTAGTTGGTGAAGATCTCTCAAAATGGCCTCCCAAATGGTCACTCTCAGAACACCTGACCTTCAATGGTGGCTCGATCACCTCGACACAGCATTTGCTCCCGATGTCTCGGTTGATCTATTTGTTGGGTAATTCCCTTGAGCAAATGGTATTTCTTGTGTGCTAACATGCGTCTTGTTGGTGAAGTGTTCTCAAGCGTCGTAGCGTTAAGGGTCCCGAAGCCGCAGCAATAGCAACGGCTCAACTTTTTCTTCGTTTGATCTACGCCCACCCGTTTTCTAGCATAGGCGATCTTGTGGATCATATCTCTTCGATTGGGACTAAGCTTTCAAAAGCTGTCCCCCGCGAGTTAGCTGTTAGAAACATGGCTCGAAGGGTGATTGGTATTATTCGTGAGGAGGCCGAGAATAATGGCATGGGAGATCTTTTTCAGGCTGCACTGGAGATAGGTATTTATTTATTTATTTTGAATGGCCACTCATCATTCAATGCCTGGGCTTTATGCTGATTGGGAGGGTTTTTTATTTATATATTTATTTAGAGGAACCCCTCCAGGTTTCTCGTGCTCCTATAAAGAGTGCCGATACTAGAGCTCAGCTTGCTGGGCATGGCTCATTTGCGAGTCCATCGAGCTCTGTGACTGGAGTTTTCGAGATTCTCTCTGTTGCTTCTTCGTCTCGCGGGTCGTCCGCAGCTTCAACACCCCCGTCCACCAGCATGGGGATGGCGCCGCAGGCACAAGCCGTCCAATATGATATTCGCCCGGCTGTGATACAGGATATCCAGGAGCTCCTTGAGGAGCTTGATTCTTGTGAACATAACATTTCTGAACTTGCAACGCAGGTAATCTACAAGAACGAAGTGATTTTGACTTATGGGCTTCCACCACCTGTTCATAAACTTCTCCTTCGTGCTGCGCAAAAGAGAGAGTTCACATTGATTGTAGTTGTGGATGAGATAGCCGGTATCAATAAGCAGGCCAGCGCTGCTGTTATGAACAATCCGGTGGGTAGGGAGGAGACCGGGGGTGACCAGGAAACTGCTGCCAGAAAATCTCTACAAGATCGCGGAATCCAGGTCATGGTTATCATGTACCATGACCTTGAGAATCTGATGCCTAGAGTTAACAAGGTGATCGTCGTAGCTCGATATATTTTCGCGGATGCGGGCATGGTGGCTGTTACAGGAACAGCGGGTGTTTTAATGGTTGCTAAAGGACACCGTAAGCTGGTATACACCGTTGCTGGAACTCATATGTTCTGTCCCATGACGACCTTTGGTCCCTATGGACTCCTCGAACGAGGGCCTCCGGATATCACACTTCGTAAGATCCGCTTTGGTTCTGCGTTGGTTCGATTTCTTCTAACTCTTTTGGCTCCTGCAGCCTATAACCCTGAAGGGTGCCGACCTGCAACTATTCTCTCTGAATACATAGAAAGTGGTTCAGTTGATTGCTTTATCACTAATAAGTATGTTGCCATTCCCCTCCTGTTGCCTAATGTGCTAATGCATATATAGCGGTCTTATTGCGCCCAATTGTATTAACCGTACTATCATGGAAATGTATCATACCGCTAAGTGTGATTTGTTCTAGCCTGGAGGCTGGGGGTCTTGGAGTGTGTTTCTCTTGTGGAAAAAGGATTTCCACTGTAGACTTGGGGTCACTTTCTATCTGGGATATTAGATCAAGGGCGTCACCGGCGGAAACCTCCTTAATTTTATGTTTTTTTCTTCTATTGAATCGTATTATTTATTTGTACAGTACAAGATATTATGCAGACAGGGCCATGGATTAGTGAACCGTTTATTCCAGCGTATTTAGGAGTAAAAAGAGGGATTTTGGACCTTCTCCACCGAGGTCCTTGTGTGGATAGAAACTAACTGAGCAAAAGATGCACGGAATACAGTGTACCAAAACCTCCACAGATAGAGAATAAAAAATAGCAAGAAGTGGATAATAAAATTATAAATAGAAATTGGCCGTGATTAAGAATTGGAACCACTGGTAATGAACCAAACAACTATAGATAAACACCTAAGAAAGTAACCATGACCTAATGCTAATTGCCCAATAGCAACAACACCTTAGGGCCCAATACATCATATTGGCTGGCTAGTGGTGTGGAATAATAAAAGGCCCAGGAATGCAGAGTATAGGAGGAAACAACTTGAAACCGGGAGTGGAGGAGTATGATATTGTCGTAGATCCTTAGGAAAACCAAGCACCGGAACAACAAAGTAGGGTCACGGTCATGATTGTAGTATATTGCAAGGGAGAAGAAAATGTGCAAAGAAGCAGCAAGGCGCTAGTGGTATGTATAATATTATGATGGTAGTAAGATACCGACTGAAGGGCAATGATAGAGGAGCCCGAGTGGGCCCATTCGAGCTGTGTACCGTAAGAACCGAAATAATTGGGCATCACGCTAAGAGGTGAAAATAAGGTTAGTCATGCCAAGATTCTGGCGCAATATGGGTTTCAGATTATGCTAATATAATTCTTCATAGTATACACCTTCCTCATCATCGTCAACCTCAGCTAACTCTACAGGATCATCATCAAACTCAGTTCCTAGCAGTATACTTTCCTGCCTTCCCCACTCCTTTATGCCCTCTTGAAGGTAAGTACTATCTAACCCCTTGATACTAATTTCTTGGTCATGTGTGCCATCAATTGGCAAAGCTAACCCAAGTACACGAAAGGATTTTTTAATAACCTCAACCCGCTCTCGGGTAAAGATCTCCCAGGCTTCGCCTACTGCCCATGTGGTCAGAATCCTCCTTCTTCCAACCATGCTGCCCGTTAGTTGGCCTCCAGAAGCAAGAATTACTTCCTCTTCTGATTCAATCTTGTCTAACTTCTCTTCTAGTGCTTCCTATTGACAAATTAACTGTTAGTTTCTGGTTTTCAGTTCTTTTTATGTTCATAACAATTCCCTGGGATAAGTGGTAAGTTATTTCCTACCTTTAATATATCTTTAAAGGGACAGTTTATACTAACATCTAATAGCTGTACCAATGAGGTACAACCACCAGGAATTAGGCTAACAGTAATATCGTTGGCCAGAAAGGTATCTAGTACCTCCTGAGTTTTATGTGCTCCAAAGAGGTCGAGGACTAATAGCGTTGGCTGATTCTTGAGAACAGGTACCAGCTGCTCTTCCAGCCACTCAAGAAGGTTCTCTTCGTTGGCATATGCCTTCGGATTGAACTTGACTATGACACAGGGATCGTACTGCTGCTTTTCCTTCACGATACTGGGGCCTATACCTTGGCCTCGGAAAAAAATCAAGGGTTTTATCCGTGGAACACCATCAGAAAATACCGTAAGTTGTATCGTTCCCTGACGCTTATCCCAGCCTGACTGACTTCCTTGCACCCATATAGTTCGTTCACTAGTACTGTTATATGTCTGCCCTTCGAGATACTCGAAGGGTAGTGGTATCTGATCCATATTACAGATGTTGGCTAAGCGAAAGCGGCCAACATCTGCAGGTATGTCTTCCAATCCTCAATGATCATCTGGTCGCAGCTGGGAATTTCGTCTGTTGAACTGCATCCAACTTAGGATTGCTTCGGTGAAATTGGTGGGAAGCTGACTGGACTTATTTGTCACTACTCTTAGGGATATGTGATGCCACTGAAGAAATCCATGAAACCAGCCATTTGAGAATCGAAAGTTGGTAAGTGGTTCCCCCGGATATGTTGATTGAAAAATCTCTTTGCTGACACGGCGAAACTATCCTCTTCTAATGAAGCCTCCCTCCGCTCTCCGAACCCGAAACTGATCGTACAACTCTCTCTCCATCAACATCTATTTTCTTTTTCTTCCCTCTCTGGTTACTCTATACTGACTTCTTGTCAGGTCTTTATACTTCCCCTTCTCCTCCTCCTTCTTCCACCGGTAAAGATTTGTGCCTGGAATCTTGAACTGTTTGGCAACCTCTGAATGGGTTGGCTTCTGAAGCTGGGTTGGGCTTATAGGTATGGATGGTGTTCTCCAATATGATAACACATGAAGTTTGTAGCTAACGGTGTATAATCGATAGGGATTGTCGACACGCTTTGGTGGAGCCCGCAACCTCTCTGCAAGCTTCTTTCTTACCGGGCCTGACTTCTTTTTTACTCCCGCATAGAATCTATCTGCGGGAAGGGGTTCTAAGACTGGCTTTATCTTGGTTCTTCCGGCGCGCTTTGGAGGCATTTTGTATCGGAGTTTGGTTTTGAGTTTCTTCTGTTTTTTGCCACTTTGATGTCGCTGTTTTCTCACTTCACCAATTTTGAATTGAAGTGCAGTGTCTATTCATTTATTACTATTTTACATCTATTTATCTATACTTTCAATCTATTTTTTGTTTTTTTTCTGTTTTTTCCATTCAACTCATTCTCATGTTTTGATGAGTTGAAGTCAAAATCATGGGCCCGTGTACTTGTCTCATGTGTTGAGTCACTCGTATTTCACCGATCTGTCCATGCCTCACCTTATTTTAACCCCTTAGCGCGATGCCCAATTATTTCAGTTCTTACGGTATCAAGTCTATACTAAACACCATCGGGTCAAAGAAGAGGTGGAAATTGACCAAGTTACAGCCTATCAAAACATTTTATCATACCATAATGTGAACTGTGTTCTCAGCTATTTTCTATGATAAAATTTAATGGAAACAGAAGGTTACGGACCCTAGAAGTCTCTAAACAAGGCTTAGGCAGAGGGGGGTAAAAAGGTTTAAACTAAACCAACATTATGAGATATTGGGATAAGGAGTTGTGATATGGGTCGCGGAAGGGTATAGGACTCAGGAGGAAGAAAAGTATGTATCATACTCGAAGGCAAGAGGAAGGTGCGAAATGTGACTTATTCCCCGCTACATTCTCCTGTATGGGGGGGAGGGTGCGGGTGGTGAAAAGTGGTGATAGTAGGATATGGTGTTGGGACATCCCCAAATAGGCAAAAATCTGAATGGAGGTTATGGGGGGTGTCCTTAATTTTATGGGCTTGTGATGTTTTATATTTCTATATCATGTGATAGGTTGCTATATTCTTGTACTCTTAAACAATGAAGGAGTGGTGCATTTTTTTTATTTGTACTCTGGGGCATGCGGGAATGCTACTGGTAGCCACGAGGGTTCAATGGCGAAGGTGTGAATTTTTCAAAGTAAAGGGTGTATCGTACTTGTAGCAGCATAGCAAATTGTGTTCCCGGTTTGGTACTCGGTATTCTCAGAATTTGTACAAGCGTTTCTAGTGACCTATGAACAAGAATTGGCACCTTAATACCGACCGAGCTTGAAATCACCCGCTTGGTCTCTCTTCGGAGGTGGAAGCTTCCCCCCTGTCAACGCGCCGGCTACCTCAATTAAGCGGGGGTTACTCTCCATTCCAAACGACGCCCCAGTATTTTCAATATCCCTCAACATATCCTCCATGGTAGGCGGATACCTCTTGACAAGGGCATTCTGCGACTTGAAAATCTTCGCAATCGCCTCATCGAGGTCTTTCTCCGTGAGCAAAAAATCCCTAGCATTCAAGTAGAGCTCGTGCAGCATCTCCAACTTCTCCTCCGTCTTTTCCTGCTCTTTTGCAAGCCTCAACCGATTCTTCTCTTCCACCCGTTCCAGTGTCATACGGTTCATGGTGGTAATATCCTCGCTCCTGAGCGTGGATAGTACGGAAGGAAGCGTCAACCGGACGTCCTCGCTCATCGCAGTGTTTAGCAGCTCGTCCCGCTCTTTGTTCCTCTTCTCGAGCGCCTCCTTCCTCCGCTGGACCGTTTGCATTGCCCTCTTCCTTAGTTCCGACAATCCCTCGCGAAGGTTGCAGCGACGCATGGTGGACATTTTGTTCTTCCATTCTATGTAAGACTTGGCCTGCTCGTTTGCTGCCGGGCCCGCTTGGTGGGGCTTGAGGGGCTCGAGGGTCGCTTTGAGGGTGGATTTGTCGTTTTCAGTGATCGGGCGTGGCCTGGGGAGCTTCCCCTTTGGCGGAGGCTTGCGGTATGGTCGGATTACCGGGGATGTTGGCATGTCGATGTAATGGGGGGATTCGGGACCAACATCTTGCATGGCGGCGGTGGTCGTGAGGGTTCTTTTCATATAGGTTGGTGCTAAACACACTGTGCGCCGGAGGGGCGTTAAGAGGGACATTTCGTTTGAGGTGTGGTTGGGAGAAATTGTACCCGTGATAGTAGGTTTGGGGAGGGTGAAATTCAATGGTTTAAATTTTGGCAGGAGGAAGTGGGTGCTGGACAAAATTATCATGACTGAGGGTTTTTTGAGATAGGGATCCTTGTAGGTCGGGTAACCCCAACACGCCGGGAAATCGTCAAGCCTTGAACCTTCTTTGTTTCCCTCTAAATTACCGTCATTGTCCGAAACGAAACAAAAACGGTCCAAACTTATCAAACACTCTCCCCATTCGTCAATTCTCCGCTCATCCACTCTTTTCAAAAAAATGCCTGCTCCAGCAGTAATTCCCCTTCTCACATAATGGATGGAGTCCTCAAGTCACTAACGGTAGAATCCGTAGAGAAGCGCGGCCCTAAAAATCAACTGGGCCCAAATCACCACCTCCCTCGGCCTAAAGGGGCAAACAGTCGCCTCCCTCCAAGCCTTTAAGAAGCGCAACGAAGACGTCCGCCGTAAGGTTGCCATCCTCTCCGAGACCCCACAGGAAGTCGACTTCAGCCATTACCGCGCCATCCTCAAGAACCAGGCCGTCATCGACGAGATCGAAAAGGCGTACCGCTCTTTCAAGCCCGCTACCTACGACCTAAATAACCAGCTCAGGACCATCGAGGCGTTCGAGGCCGAGGCCGTCAAGAATGCCGAGGCGACGAAAGGCAGGGTCGACATGGAGTTGCACGAGTTAGAGAAGACACTCAAGAATATCGAGGAGGCTAGGCCGTTTGAAGACTTGACGGTGGTATGTTTGCGGGCTTTCCTCTTACGCTATATATAGCTACTTGGGGAGGTTCTGTGTAGGCGTTTAAAGATATTGTATGGTTACTGACCTACCATGTTATTACTTGCAGGACGACATCGCCAGCGCCCGCCCTGATATCGATGCCCGAACCGCAGAGATGGTTTCCAAGGGTCGCTGGATGCCAGCTGGATACAAGGTTTGTCCCCCCCCTCCCTCTTATCTATGCATTCATCCACTGACCCACCAACTCTCTAGGAAAAATTCGGCGAACTCTCCGTTCTGTAAATGCGGACCCAAAATATGTGCCGACAGAAGTGAAGACGGCGCCCCGAGATGTAATTTCCGGGTTTATAGAGGGCTATGCTGTCGCAGCATATTCATAGAAATTCAAATTTCTCGGTAGATTGGTTCCGTGTCCAAATAGTTTGTATCACCATGTCTCACTCGGAGATAGTACAGTACTTAAGATGAAGCCATTTTATTTGAGGTTTGTGAAAGGCGGTATCAGAATGCATTAAGCTGGATAGATGCTGTAATAAGGAAAAGGGGGGGCGAGAAAGCTCCTGTTTAACTTTCATCAGCTACTAAAGATGCGTAGCCGTGGGAGCAATAATCATGCAACGAGACTCATTTAATAATATTCAGGCGGACACTTTACATTGACTCAAGAGAAAATAGAACCTACCCTCCCACAAACTCCACTACGTCCCGTTCAAGCACAAGTATGATACCGCTCCCACATTTCATTAAGATTACTGAAGATACTTCCATCAAGCATGGCAGCGATTCGTCTCAAAAGAAGAAGAAAACACGCCCAAATCTTCCACATGACATCTCATCATTGCCGCTATCCACAAATACACCCAAAAAAAACTCGCTGTTTATGAAGACAAAGTGAAAGCGAAAGAAAAAAAATCCCAATAATTCCACTCAGAAACAAGGGTGAGTAATCGGGTATAGAGAAACAATTTCAAGAAACAAGTAAAATCCCGAATAGCACAGTTTAGTCAGTTAGCCGGTTAGCTCGTTTCCTTTGCTTTAAAAAGCCCTAAAATTATAAAGTCCACATAATTTCCGATAAGGCCAACAGATTCTCATTCAACGACCTCCTCGCCTGTAAAGCCGACGCCGATTCGCGACGATTGCTCATAGCCTCAGAGAAGTACAATTCAACAAGGACTTTTAGATCGTCGTAACTGAAGTCGATCTTGCCCTCTTTTGCGGCTTTGATCAGGTCCTAGTTTGGGGTTTGGGGAGTTAGACATTGACTTGACTAGACTAACGGTACCTTGGGGAATTTGGTCTGAATTACCTCCATGCCGCCAGCGTAGAGGGCATAAAAGGCTGAGGCCCGCGTTAGCTCCCCGCCTGTCTCTATGTTCTTGAGGTTTTGTTGGAGGACCAGGATGTTCAGTTGCATGCGCTCTACGCCCTCTTTGTTGATGATTTTGATGCAGTTTGCGTTGGCTACTAGAAGGTGGTCCATCATTGCGCCGAGGCCTTTGACCAAATATCTGTAGAGGGGGAGCATGGGTCAGTAGAATTTCTGACTAAGTGAGGGGCCGGGTCGAACTTACTTAGTTTCTGTGTCACGGAGGAGGTGTGAGATAACTTCGTCAAACCAGACTAGGTCCGCGTTCAGGGCTAGAACGTTAGGATCAGGGGTGTTTACGAGACTATCGAGACAATAATTTCCCTCTTTCATGCATATGTCCAGATAATGTAGTACGTGGCACCGGGCCTCGGCACGCAAGGTGAAAAGAATTGTATTGGCCAATTCCTGGAAGGAATTCACAACACCGTCAAATCCACTGCAAGAGGTTAGCCTTATGCAGCTGCTTCTAAGCCTGGGGAATTTCGCACCTAACGGTTTCAGTAGTCATGGGGAGGTATACCGGTTTTGCTGCTTCATCGCGAGACATTGAAGATTCTCCGGAGATCAAAGTCCAGCGTCTCCTCCGGCGCTATTGAAGAATTAGCAACAGGATCTTTTCTTAAGTCAAGGGCTAAGCAAACCCCCGAGAGTCCTCCTTCCTGCCGAGAAAAGCTTTGTGTATCTTCCACATGTCGAAGTTGAACAACATTGCTGGCCAACCATTTCATGCTGGAATAAAGAATGCATAAAGAATTTGTGACCTTGCGATCAGTAATAAGATCGGCAAGAGTAAGTGTTTTGCCTTCTTGATCCCCAAGTTCGACTTCGGTCTCCTGTAGCAATGGTGAGCGATTAGGTTACTTGGCGATCGAAGGGTTGCAAACCTTTTTGAGGGCTTCAGCCTCTTCATTGCCGGTCCAAAGGCCATGCATGGCAGAGCGAATTTTGTCCACGCGTGCCCATTGGGCACTTCGCTTCATATCCAACATTGGCGTGGTTCCATCCTCTGGACCGGCCCGATGTCTCGCAACAAGCTCTAGTTTTTTTGTCTTGTTAACAGCTAATTCCATGCGGCCAGAAATAGGTCAAGATATACCTTTGTACCATTCATAGCACTTTTCATAATACGAGTTAAGCAAATCAATAGTCAATTGTCCAAAAGCTTGATCGGGAGGAATGGTATCAAGCATCTTGCATAACGCAGTTATAAGCCCTAGGAAAGCTGTCGCACCCTTCATAACAGGCTTCTTTGCGACTGATGCCCACTGAGGATCCTGCTGGAAAGCATCAAGGTCACTAGTTGTCTGGTTGAAGAGGTCCCGGATGGTGTCTTCTAATGAAGGGTGAAACACGTTAACTAAGAAATCGTCCAAAAAGGAAGTCAGTGTGCTAAGGACAATCCCAGAGCCTGCAGGAACAATATCTTTGATACGGTTGAGAAACGCAAGTGATGGGGGAAGAAGGAACCCCATGTTGAAGACGCTTGGCTCAATTAGTAGCTTGTGTCCAGTCGCAGCACCATCAGAGGACGTGTTCACATCCGAAGAGGTTGCGGCGGGTCGAAGGGATTCGGAGACGAGACCAGGTACAGAGGCCTTTAGAATAGATTCTAAGTCGTCCTGATCCTTTTTAATAGAAGCCGAGTTGCTGTCGGTGCTTGATAACTTAAATAAGATCTTATTCTTGTCTCGAGGTGTCTTTCCAGTAACAATGTTGTTGATAGCGTGATGGATGCCTTTGGGGGCACTTGATACACTTCGACTGTCAGTCATGGTGAGATAATCGTGGAGCAAAGATCGCATCTAGAAATGTTAGCGCATAAATGCCGAAAGATCTTCGGTAATAATATGTACTTCGCTCTGTATCAGTTGCCAGACTTCCATAAAACCACCTGCTAAGGATGCTACATCTTCGGAACCATCTCTCCTGCTGATGCCCTTAACGACATCGTAAATAACTCTATGACCCTCCATAACAGCTGCGAACTTAGAGTATAGAGTCCATAATAAGTCATGTATGACAGTGACCCGAACGTCATTATCGCTCAGACCCAAGTCAAGAGCTTTAGTGAAAGTCCCAATAGATCGAGCAACACCGGTTAAGGAGCTCGGATGCCGTTGATCAACTTCATTATTAGTCTTCTCAACAAGTTTAAACAGCTCTACTGGTAGGCGCTGGTTCACAGTTCCAACGGCGTTAGATATGTGACCAAGGCTATTTAATGCCTCCAGAAGCAGCCTTATGTAGTAGAGACTGTCAGCCTCTGGGTTCTTATTCGCATTTGCGTCTTCTATCATCTGAGTGTGTTAGCGTGGATAGGCATCAAGACAGAGATTACGAGACTTACAGGCTGGGTGAAATCTACGGAGTCAAGAAACACATGGAGTGGTCTCTTTCCCTCAGCTTTCGTTAATAATGCTTGTCCGGGTCAGCAAACGAAGCCAATAGTTGGGATGCGAGGACAGTCGTACAAGGCATAGAAGCTTGCTTTTCGCTAAGGTCAATTGTGGGAATATCGCCATTTGTCACTTATCCTGTTAGCCTCAATTCAGCAGCCAAAAAATTACAGAAACGTACAGTCTTTCTGATGTGGAGAGTAAGGCTTCCATCGATCCATACAGTATGGAGACTTCAGGTAAAGATGGTTATGGAGCTCCTCAATTAAGATGTCGGCAAGAGACTAATCACACTATCAGCAGAGCTCGGGGTCATAAATAACGAAAAATTGAGGGCGAGAACTCATATACCGATTCTTGACTGCCTAAATATGTTCTTAAATCGGATAAGGCGCCAATCTCCATCATTTCTGGTTGCTTTATAACCTTGAGGGCATCAGATAAGACCTCAACGGCTGTCAAAAACCGTTTTTCGGATATACGTGCTTCTAGCTTTTCCGGCACACCATTGAGTTGTTCTCTGTTGAATAAATCAGCCTCAAAAACGCCCCGGCTACACAGAAAGGAAAATCAAAAATCCAGGAAAATCAAACATTAAATTGAGTGTCCGTAGCATTGTGTCATATGTTTGAGATGTTTCCACCATATTTTTAACCTCCGGCTTTGAAGTTGAAAGATCTGTCTTTGCTTGGACTAGTGATTCTCTGAGTGCTCTAACCTTTGCCTGTGACGTTGTTATACTCCTCATTATGCTGTGGAACGTCCCAATAGAGCTATTGAAACCCTGGTGGTGATCTAATATTTCCATTTTCTTTTTTTCAGTCCCTGTACATGAAGCTGTTAGGGAGTAATTCTGGAATAGGATATGTACCGTTCACGATAGATTGCAGTGCATGTTGGAGCTGGTTATGTGTTTGCTGGTAGCTGTCGTACTGGTACGCTCTCCCCAATGAGCTGGTATCCATAAGCTGTAAGGCCACTTTGACGGGAACACAACTGTCAAGTGTCATGAAATCCCAATCCTTCTCGATAAACTGGAGAATATCTAAACGCAGGCAATTGACTGAATTTAGTATCCTATTCTCAATCCCGCAAGGAAAAAGTGGAGGTGGGAGAATTCCCCCGCACCTTCGAGCTTCCGGGTACCAGGACCATAATTCTTCACGCCATTCTGCCTTGGTTTACCGCGCAGAGCCTGATCATTCCTATCCCTACTTCTCTCTCTAATTCTATCTCCTCCATAGTAGCCCTGTTGCTCGTTCTCCCATTCTGAGTTGATGGGAGCGAACTCTCGTTGCTGTGATCGAGGTGGAGGCTGCTGTCTAGCATCTCGACCATAATCGCTTCCCCCATAACCACTGAATCCACTTCTGTCCTGGTCCCGCTCGTTTCTCCATCTGTCTCTCTCCCCGTATGCGGGTCTTTCCCGGGTGTCGCCATAGTCGTACCCGCCATAGCCAGAATATCCATTATTGATTCCCCCTCCCCCACCCTGACGGGGGCGCTGGTATCCATCCATCACCGGAAGAGGCCACCGAAGCCTGCGGAAAGCGCTCCAAGACTGAGGGCGACTTAAAGGAAGCCGGTAATCAAATTTCTAAGAGCTGGAGTCGGTTGTGGTAGGCTGGATGCAATTGCTGACTTGATAAATTGACGCGACACAAATGCCAAGACTAACGGTTTTGGTGGAGCTGGTCAGCGTTGGGAACCCTGGGGATGCGGAGTGATGGAGTGTGTGAGGTGTGGGGAATATAAAAATTATAAATCTTTGGAAACAGTATTGTAACTAGTGAGGCAATAATGCTTTGAAGCGATGACTTGTAAATTTGGGGCTCTGTCACAATTTTTCATAGTGGTGGGTCCTTTGATGGTGGATTTGAGTATCATACAGTCTCAACACGGAATGAACTCAACAATTTTGCCAAGCAAATGCCGGTAAGCACAACAATCATATGATAGAACAACTTTTTGAATTATGTATAATGAAAGCAATAGATTATTTTATAAGTATACCATCACGCAGATGGTATTCAATATCACCCTTACTCCATTCGTTGATATGCTCCTTAGCAGCGGACTCAAACAACCTTGCCCCGAGCCTTTTCATCAAGATTCTGTTTTCTACCGAGAGAACCCTAGACAACTGGTTCTCTATCCAAGAAATAATTCCGTTACGAGTGATGAGTGTGGTACCACCTCCCTCAATCCCAGCAGCGTTCCAGAGCAGTTCGATGATCTTTTCCTTCTCCTTCTCACTCGTGTAGGGAGAATTGTAGACGTTTAGGCAATTGCCGAACACATTCCGTTTCCGGTATAGATCGAGGTCCTAGGAAAGACGGGCAATCAGTCTCAGAAACTTGGAATGGATCTAGAATAATACAAACCTCTTCAGTCTTTAGACCTGCTTCCAGCACATTCAGGATCCAAAAAACTTCTTTGTGGTACTCCTCGCCAATATTCGAGAGCGATATCATGTGTGGGACATCGTGCAAATTCAACAATGGCTGTCGAAGTAGGAGTTCCATTACTTTTTCATAGAGGAAGTGGTTTGGGTTAGATAGGACTTGGACTAATTGGGCAAGGAAAACTCCAACAACTGTCGGGATATGCAAGGGTTGGGAAGCATCCAATTTTTCGTAGATTGTAAAGGAGGCTAAGATGGCGCAAAGGAGATGCAAGATTTGAGCTCTCTCCCGATATGCTGAAGCCTGGGAGTGTTAAAATAGGTGTACTAGAAGTGTCGAAAATCTCGGAGATATCTTACCTCTAACTTTGCAATAGCTGTTTTAATATAGCTGCGCGCTTGGCTGTTCGAACTCTTACGATAAGAGCAAAGACCCATAATAGCGAAACCTAGGGTATGTTTTTCAACGGCGGCCTGGGCATCAATAATAACATTGTCTGACATTAGGCAATATGTGAGAACAGGAAGCAAGAACTCGGGGTTGTACGTCCGGGAATCGATTTCCCTCTGTTCAGCACGAGCACTCATGAACGATTTAAGTGTTTTGAGATCTACATCGGACACGGTCGCCTTGCAAGGAGAGTATTGGAAGACACTCCTGGCAAGTTTCTTAGAATCCACGGCGACAAAAAGCCGACCCCGGACTCGTGAAATAAACGATTTTCCTCCTGCTCTCTCAAGAATTGACCAGTCCGCAATCCTGTTGGCGCAACTTTGGGCTAGATGCGCTTCGATACTCCATATAATGTTTAGTAAAGCGGTGTCTATAAGATCGTTGGTGCCGCGATATAATCCCAATACTCCGTCCAGTGTTGTTATAGTAGATTGAGATAATCTGGCAGCGGAAAAGAGGCGATAGATAACGAACGCCATATGGTGTGAGATCTCATCGGGGGTATCACCGCGGAACAAAAGAGGGTTCCCGCTGTGTCCGAGCACCATTTGAAGTAGCTTCCTAGCGTCAAGTGACTAATTGCGGTATTAGTATACAATATTAGGGCTGGAGAAAGAGCTGTGCGATATACCTTGGAGGCCAACTGTGAAACCACAACCGAAACGAAATAGACTATCTCTGGGGTGTCAATGAGTTTTTGAAGGCCAGACTCAAGAACAGCATTTAGAGCAGCTCGTGGCACCGATGCTGATAGGTCAATCCTTTCTTGTGCGAATAATTCTCCTAACCGTTTTGCAAACCTCAGGACTTTCTCTGACGGTAATTCATCTTCCGAAAATCTCCGAGTTAGGAAGTCAATAGCTACTAAAACCCAACTTCGAATATCTGCTGTTTCTCGAGAGTCCATTAAAGAGTCGATAAGGTCGACAGTCTCTACCGCGAGATTAATACCTCTGCTGTCTTGTATTACATTCTGGAGTGCTTTCTCTTTATCTAGGGATGGGAGCAATGGCGCCGCTCGTTGAAGAAGATCAATCTGCTCTAGGGACAGGAAATCCTTATGAAGGTCCACTTGGAATCGGGCAAAAATCTTATCAAGCTGGTTTCGGGCCCCAGCGCTTACCTTCACTGTCCATTCGAATTGAGCGGCACCTTTTCCAGGCATAGAAAATGACTCGAGTAGTGCCGTTAAGTAAGGTGAGATCTCCTTGGCCTTGGTGAAATCAGAAGTGGTGGTTAAAGATGAGAGAGCGAGCTCTCGCATAGCACCCACCTTCCTAATGAGCGCACACTCTAGATCTACCTTCGCTGCCGAATGTTCTTTTCCAGGATCTAGCGCAGACAGATTAAGGGGGATGGAGCCTATATCTATGTTCTGCTCTGGCAAGTCAAGCAGGGATTTCCCTAAGGCCCTATTAAACGGCTCGTGGTCAGGGAGGCGCCCCCGAAGTTGTACTAGAATGTCCTTCAGAAGTTGAGGCGGCAGGTGCTCGCCCGCTGTGGACAACCGCTCCAGGGCAAGTCTAAGGAGACTGAATTGCAGTTCGTCGAGCCCTTTCGCGTTGACGCTCTTCAATATCGCATTGGCGAGGTTGGGGAGATCCTCCAAGAGTAGAATTTGAAGAATTACAGGTTCGCAAATGACGGAAACCTATGAAAACAATTAGCCATGGTTTTGGGACTTGATGAAGGTGGTTATAGCTCACACGTTGCCTGCGATTATCAATGCTGTCACCGGCAAGGAGCTGATTGATATCCATCATAGATGCCTCGAACCTCGTGACAAAAGGTCTTAACACCGGCTCAAAGCCATCGAAGATAGAGCAAAGAAGCTGGGAGAATCCTAAAGTCAAGAATATTTAGCAAGCTTTCGACTCGTCCAGCAGACATAGAGGGCAATTGCCTGTTGAGAAAATGATGTATCGTGGGACTCTTCCTGGATCCACCGGCACATGGAGAAAAGACTCAATCCAAATGCTGTCATGGGCCAACATTGCTTTGGCACGACCACGAAGCCCATCGCCCCTTGGTATCCGCTCGAAGAGAGCCTTTAAAAGGCCTAGTAGTTTAGAGATAGCGGCGCAAGCATCGCCTTCGTTTATCGTGCTACCATCTAGTATACTACCCACCGCTCTACAAATCACCACAATATCAAGTAGTGAAACCTCAGCTCCTACATCCCGATAAAGGCGCAGCAAATTCTCAATAGCCTGTGTGTCTAATCTCCTCAAACTTCTGAACAGATCCCGGGAGCGCTTCTCTCCTGAAATTATTCCTCCGTATCTCTTTGGCGTTGGTTCGGGTGATTCTCTATTAACAAGTTGGAATCCCCCTCCCCCCTCCAGATCCTGTTTTAGCGATTTGAAAACACCTTTACTTGCTTTGTCATACCCGCAGAGTTCAACAAGGCGATTGCACAAAGCGGCAAGGGCATGCCCGTTTTCTCCTAAAATTGCACAAGACTCCATGAACCTTGCCAACCAAGTCGAAAAGCCTAGTTTCACTCCACGAGGGGCATCTGATTCTATGAAGAATTTGAACTGCTCAACTATTGTCATAACCAGAGGGCTCACAGCCGCGGTACCTTGCCCTTGCCTCTGAGGCCCCGATATATTCAGAACAAGCTCAGCGTAGTCGTCGATATATTTGAATGGAGTACGAATACACCTCAAGATAGACTCATCCAGGAACACCAGAGTTGCTTCAAAAGTGGCCGGCTGAGCGATAGCTGAGAGGCTCTCGAGAAGTGCCTCCAGAGGAGACACTGGTGTTTCAGCTTGTAATAAGAGACTTGGGGCTACAAATGAATGGAGCAAGGTCTTGATTTGCTGGGGAGGGAATCTTGAGCTTGAACCACAGCAAGCCCTGAGGATAGACACAAAAGGCGAAAGCGGCATCGTAGCTGTATCTCGGAGTGAGCAAGTAGGTCCGATAACGAGATTATATGAGGATATACCTGGCTTGTGCCACCACTTGATATCCGGGGCATCTCTCGCAACTCTCAACAGGTGACGCATCTCGAGAAATTTCAATCCCTTCTCGTCAGCAGCTTGGCTCTCAGACCCTCCCATATCTGCGAAAAGCGCCCCCAAAGCCAGCGCAATATCGAAATTGCCCGCGAATGCGACCTCTGATAATGTGTCACAGTAATCGGCGAGTAATCTGCTGGTGACTTCCTTTTGCAGCATGCCTTGCCCAGACGGCGACTTTACCAAACCCGAAACTGTCGGCATATCGGGTACTCGTTTGCAGAATTCCTCAACGAATTCAGACCGCATCCTTAGCCAATTTGTCGAAGGGTCCACCATAGAAGCAGAAGCCTCATCGAGGGCCGACAGAACCTTCCGGAGTTTTTGAAATGAGACTACCAAAAGACGAATAGTTAAAAATTTGATTAGATTGCAGCTACTCTCATGAGAAATGCATTTTGTCAACACCGCCTTTGTTAATGGCTTTGGTATTACGTTCTCGATAATCACATTTGTTGGGGGAGGTGTCGGGGATAGCTCAGCTAGCCCGAAGTGATCCGGTATGGGCAGTCCAATTGCTGCAGTGAGGAAACCGTAGTATCCTACCCATGTAGAAGTAAGCTTAGGATCGAAGCTGAAAGAAGAATTCGAGATAAAGTAACTAGCAACAAGCTCCGGGCACGTCTTGAATATAGCCAGTAATAGGTCTTGTTGAAGTGTGTCGGCATAGGGCCTGATGGCTGAGATAAACGACGATAGAGTGCGGTTGTGTACCTTTGGCGGCCCGGAACCCCAACGTTTTTCTTCACCCTCAACCAACCCCGGCGGATACCATCCAAAACTAGGGAAACAAATGCCGTTCCCAGGAGTGGTACAAACACTCATTAAAAACTCATGCACAATCTCCGCAATAGGTTTTTCTTCTTCTTTCCCGGCCTTTGAGATTGTAACCCTCTCTTGCCGACCATACAGCCCCGCTATATGACCCAACACCCACTCGTTGAAAACCGCCGTTTTAGTGGCCCTTGGGATTTCCTTGTCTTTTATAATATATTCAGACAATGCTCCCAATACTTCATTGATGGCTGCCGGAGAATCTGTCCTAAGATATTTGAACATGGGTGATACCCAAGCACGTAGGCCTAGTATTTGATTCTTGATATTGCTGCTGCCGTACTGGAAAAAAGATGTGATAAATCTTAGGAAGGTTGTCCTAATAGTAGGTCTCCGCGAATCGTCTGTCGTCTCAACCTTTCCGTACCGGACTTCCAGATTTCTCGTAATATCCTTTGCCGTGAAGTCGAAGGCTGAATACAAGATTCCACAAGCGCTCCCATAATCAAACCGATTAACTTCCGTAAGCATTCTCAGGCAGGGAGCAACAACATGTTCCCTATTAGAGACTAGTGTTCTGTAGATAATCTTTAGGTAGCTTTGCTGTAAAATAGCCTTGCATAGAACAAATCCGCTGGGTTTTAGATCTTCGTTCTGTGAACATATCCGTACTAACCAAGCCAGTGATGATACAACCGACGATAGTACTGAAAGAGAGTTTTTCTGATTTTAGACTTAGCTCAAACACCAGAGGTCGGAGGCAAAAATGAACCTACCTGTGAGGCATAACTCCAAACTTGCAAAATATCTCCAAATGCATTTACTTGACCTTCTCCGGCATCACCATCTGTAGCCCGCTTGCTCTGGATTTCTAACCATTCCTTTAGAAGTTTTAAATTGAAATCTGCGACCTGGTCGGGAACCTCTTCCCCCTTCGAGCACCGATTCAAAAAAGCCTTAAAACATTGAATACCTGAATCGTATTAGAGAGCTTCGCAATCAATAAATTTTGCAAGAACTGGAGGCTCTGTGCTCACCGTTATTTAGTTCCACTGGTTTAGAGAAGTCGCCGAACAAACTCTGTAATTGCCGCAGGGTCTGGATGTCTTCCGGGTTTAGCTTTGGACCAGCACCACTTCCAGTAACCTTATTCGGTCTCCGACGCTTGCTAACACCATCCGACTTTCTAGTGTTGTTGGTCTCGGATGACCGCTTCATGGTCGCAATTGGTGTTGATGGGTACGGGACGAAGTTTGTTTCCAAACGGCGATTTTCTTGAAAAGTCATAAAGTAGCTGCCAAGCCTGTAGGCACGCCCCTGCAGCAGAGCCGCCATACCGGTACCAGGACTCGATTACTCGTATCGTACCGGTACTAAAACCTAATTTCATTCTTCCTAGTCTGGGCGCCGCCCATTTCACCCAACTAAAGGTACTAACTTATAGACTACCTTACCAGTGTCTCGCACAATGCTTGGGAATGTTCAGGACATTATTTACAACCTCTGTTACGACAACTACGGTATGAAATAAGTTACAACGAACTAGTCCTGAGATATTGCCATCAGCCAATTAATGTATTTAGGTATCTACGGTGGAGTTGGGTGGAGTTGACAGACTGGTTTTCTCCATGATACCGGGTATTGAGATAAAATTCGTTCAATCCGTATAATATTGTAACGACATCCAGTCATTGTCATTGTTTCAAAACTAATGAGCAGAAAATGAAGAAAAAAACCTTTTGCGAAGACACCACCCGCAAGAGAACTATTGCTCTATTTCCCCATCCTCCGCCCCACTAACATCGATCAAATCTCCTCCGTCCTCCCCTTCAAGTCTCAAATAATGATCCCACTCTGGAAACAACTCCTCGTCCTCGCCTGGGACTCCAATAGCCTCGGAGAGCTTTCCCTTTTTGCTTTCCTTGAGATTGTCTTTCCATTTGCACACCACTTCCGTTGTTAATGAAGGTTTATAGGTTTTAGTAAAGAGAGCTGCTTCCGGAATTCTGGATGTTTTTACCAATAGTTCGGTACATTCCTTGATATCTCCTGTTTGCCATAAAGCAGCGAAAGCGATATTGTTGGCCCCAGTAATGATAGCAGAACCTGCGAGTTCCCTCAGACCCTCTTGATTGCCGGTCGCAGTGCGCAAGAGAAGTAGTGAGCCAATGTCTTTAGCATTCCTGAAACACTCCTCCGCAAGGACCAAATCCCACGCTAGTAGGGCGGCATCACCCACAGTCTTCCATTTATGTTCTGCATCGGCCTCTCTAGCGATTTCTAAGGCCGTATCGAGGTTTCCAAGCGATAGCGATAAGTCAAATCGATGCTCGGGATCTGTGGCAATCTCCAATGCCAAATCTTTGTGGCCCTGCCCCTCCAAGAACCTAGCAATCTTGCTCTTCTGGTCCTCTGGGATATCACCTAGAATCTCCGCAGCAGCTTCCATATCGCCACGCAGAACCACAGTTTGGTACTCTACTACTCTGAGTGACAAAGCATAGGAAAGAACGTTAACATCCTTATCAGCAAGGTAGATGCGACCATCGCGCGGAAGATATCCAAGGAGGTACATAGGGTGATCGAAGTGAGAGATAGTGTAGGTTTGATCACCAACGAGGTAGTTCAGGCGGTTTGTGGAGTTGGTGTAAATAAAGCAGTCACCGACCCACTCTCCGGTGCGAACCGTTTCATTGATATCCGTGATGACTTCGAAGGCGGCCTCAACGCCATCCTCCTCAACAGTCCCATTTTGCACGGCGGCAGCGTACTCGTCTCTGTCAAAACGAAGGACATAGAATGTATCCTCGCATGCGAGTATAACAAGCTCACCACTATCTGACCAGAACACACCCTGGGGGACAACATCGATCCTTCGGACAAGCCCACCAGTTTCCCAGTCAAAGAGTCCAACTGATCCCTGGCCTCTAACAGCCAATAGAACGCCACCAATCAACCCATCGGCGGGAAAGCCCACATCCAATCCTCCTGGTTTTTCTTTGAAGTTTTTGAATAGTTTTACACTCGTCTGGCTCTCGCGGATTGCATAATCATTGCTGTTTTCCCTGGAACCCCAAACGAAATCCAATGCCTGCCCGAAGGCTTTGTTTCTCCATGCAAGAGCAGTGTAAATAATATATTCTCCATCACCACAAACAGAAACGAAACGGCCATTGGGGGAATGCAGGAGTGATTGAGGGTAGATTTCGCAAGAGCCTAGATCTTTGGAGGGAAGTGATAGAGGTTCACCATCTTTGGCTGACACATCTAATATGGAAAGTCAGTATGTGGATAGGCGGAAACAATCATTGAAAGATCCCATACCACTTGGTTTAATAACGGCCGTCAGTACCTCACTATGCCTAGCCCACACTATCTTTCCACCCGCATCCATGCTGACTGCGGGCTCCTCTCTTCCCATCTTAACCACAACACACCCTTCATCGAATCCCATCGCGATAGCATTCTTTCCCTTCTGTGATGAAACACACCAGGCTCTTTCAAGACCATAGTTTAATGTTTGCTCGAGACGATAGGTGTTGGCATGCCAAATCTTAACAGTTCCATCCTCCGAACCCGAAACAATAACTGGTAGTTCAGGGTGAAAACAAGCAAAGGATACATTAGATGTGTGTCCTTCCAATGTGGCAATCAAAGATTTTGTGGTATAGTCCCAAATTTTGATTGTTCGGTCATCGGAGGTGGTCAAGATGTATGGTTTATCGGCTGCCGGATAGTAGTCGACATGGTTGACACCTTTCGTCTCATGGGCTTCCAATGTGAAATTAGCATTTCCACCGCCGCCCAAACTCCATATCTTAACAGTTCTATCCAAGCATGCACTTGCAAAGGTGTTGGTATCTTTTGGATTGATTGCCAAACTCATGACATAGTGCGCATGCCCTTCAAAAGTTTGTACACACTTCCATCCTTTCTCCCAATCCCATAGCTTGATAGTCATATCATCACTAGCAGTGAGCACAAATGGCTGAGTAGGATGTACGACGATGGAACGGATGTAATCCGGATGAGCCTCGAATGCAGCAATCTTCTCCGAGGTATTGTAATTAAAGACTCGGAGGTGGAAATCATCAGAGCCCACCACAAACCAGTTCTTTCGGGCAATAAATCGGCCGGCCCTGACAGGAACATCCGTAACTTCAAACGTTTTTACCAAAGTCTGGGTCTCATGAGACCAGATATTGACATGACCTAGAAGGTACCAGACTATCAGTAGTGTTTACTAGAACACCAAGTTAGATCCTACCGCTGTATAAAGTGCTTAGAACCCAAGGCTCTATAGGATGGAAATCAATCCCCTTCACTCTGTCGGAGCGGGCAAAAAGTTGTCTCTTAATAGTCAGGTTCATCAGCCCTAATTCCTTAATACCACCTACTCTGCTGGTCTGCCATTCCCAATATAATATGGGGATGTTTTTTTATTTTATTTTATTTTTCTGTTTTGCTGGGACTTGATAAAATAACAAGGAGGAGCTTTACCTTCACGTCTAGCCGCATGCTGTTCTATAGCTGTTCCGTAATTCCTGATGCTGGGTTGTTGGGGAGGACTTTTCTTTCGCCTGCCGCCATCTTCTGATCCCCGAAGCTGTCGCAGAGGACAACTTTCCTAGGCTTGGTGTCTTGGCGTCCACATTTGATGCTCTCCCAGCAACTCCAACAGAAATTCCGTTTCTCTTCTCCCCACAACCCAACCCAACGGGGCTGCTCCCAATCCAGAAGATGGATTCCACTTTGCCTTCACCAAACCCTGCCCTCCTGGTACCTCCATCCATGCCGCTCTACGATTCAATACGAGGATCTATATTCGCTCCCTCGCCGACAGTCCTGATAACTACTATACTGGTTATCTTCCTCACACCTATCTTCCTTCACTTTATTGTGTTCCACTCTCGTTCTCCGATTAGCCTTCCAACATTCTTGTTAGTTGGGCCTGCAGCGAGCGGGAAAACCTCTCTTATGACATCGGTGAGCGCCTACTCCGCAACCATGATTTGTGAGCTGTTGCTAAACTTCCTAAAGTTTGAATCTGAGCCTGGTCAACCTCCCGTCGAAACACGCACAAGTCAAACACCACATTCCCTAGAATGCTTTGTTCCTGCCTCCATCGCTAGGACATCGGAGTACAGATCTGCCCATGACCCTTCTCTCAAAGCGCATAAAAGATTCCTTCTTCTCGACACACCTGGGCATGGCAAGCTGCGTCATATAGCTCTTACTCGGATTTCCTCCACAACAATTCGTGGAGTTATTTTCGTCCTCGATTCCTCTCTCACCGATGTTCGGGTAGTAGCTGAATATCTCTATGATGTTCTATTGACTTTACAAAGTTCTGCCACTTCAACCACTACACAGTCCAAAAAATTACTAGTCGCTTGTAACAAAAGCGATGCTTTTACAGCACTACCTCCATCTAAAATCCAGAAACTTCTGGAAGATGAAATCACAAAAATGAGAGTTTCAAGGTCCAAAGGAATCCTGGACGTTGAGGATGACGGTGAGGGCAATGATGAGAAGGAGTGGTTGGGGGAAGGCGGTGAAGGTCCATTTACTTTTCAGAGCATGGAAGAAGTTGGTGTGGAGATTGAGTTCAAAGGAGGTAGTGTGGAGAATGGAGAATGGAGAAACTGTCTGAGTCCTTGGATTGGCAGCTGTTTATAACCTTCCCTTCCAGGGTCATAAAAGGAGTTGATGGCTTGGGCTTTTAGCAGTTTAAATTATTATTATTTTACACTGGAATTAACATAATTATTGTAGCGCCAGTTTTTATATTTTTACTATCGGGTCGAATTGCGCTTTCAATACCCAGCCTTTTCTAACACATACTTCAGAGACCTAGCTAGGTATTTGCTAAGGGTTCCAGAAACAAAAAATCTGTCTTCCTATCTCTAGTTTACTACTATGGGTACGGCAGAATTTAGCATTTAGAGGGATAAGGCCATAACCGGTCACCGGTATAACGAGTAGTGAGTGACTATACGTGATTAACTGCTGCAGGCCTCTATTGCTTCATAGGCACTATGGCTTATACCTCGAAACACTGGCGTACAAAGTAATAACCTATCATATTACAAATATAAACATTAAGTGCTTGCTCGAGTATATAGAATGAATCATGCTCGTGGTATCGTATGGGGAGCGTTAAAGTTACTGCTAGCTTCTGGCCATGATATCATCCTCCCCATTCACTGTCAAGCAGCGAAGTTCATAGCCTTTAAACTTACAAGTAATTTTAGATCTTTGTAGCTTCCAAGGGGTCTATTAAAGAACTTACGAACATTTTCTTCTCCAGTACCAGTACAGAACCCGCACGAGATACTCGTACAATACAACGCCCAGGCAGCAAAATATCGCCAAATCAAGGGGGGTGGTAGGGATTCACAAGTTATTATACTATCTTAGGCACAAATAGACCGAACCTCTAATACCGGTAGCTGACCCTCCAAGATTATTGGGTCAAAGATTGCGGAACAGTTGAGACCTCCAATTTCATAGCTTGTCTAATATTTATGAGGGTCAGCTAAAATAAAAATACACAAGTAGACATTTTCAAAAGGGAAACATCAACGACAATGGCCTCAAACACCGTGCACCTTGGATAACCACCATACATATTGAGTACTGCTAGCAGATATAAGGCACAGGTTTTCGTGGAGCAATAGGCAGAAAGAAGAAATATCGACCTAGGTATGGGCACTGCCAATTATTCCAAAAGTACTGTCTTAAATAATCGGAAATCTTGGGACACCTTCGGCCTACTCGTAGGAAATGCCAATTTCCGGGTATTTTTGGAATTGTCAAGTACTGGTGCATTATTAGTACCGTTTTATTCTCTCCCCTAGCAGGGAGCTACTGTATGCCTCGAATTTAGTGCATATTGTAACTTGTACCGTACATCATCTGGGCGATTTGATCTCAACATGCACTTTCAGAAACAATACATCCGTAGATTACACAGTTTTGATCTCTATTGGCAGTCTTGAAAGAAAAAATTTACCACTGTTGATTAATCTTCAATCACGGTGCGAAAATCATGGAAATCACGAAAACAATTGGCTAATCTCCGGCGCCGTCGGAGGCTACAGGAGAGTTGATATTGTGCGTGAAAGGCTTTGAAGCTAGGGGAATCAGGGCAGTGTGACCGGATACGGGTGGCTTCAGGCATTGTTTTTTTTTTGGGGGGACCTTAAAATGATCTTGCAAAGAAGCAGTACTATTACAATACTTCTATTATGGTCCATGAAAAGATAATTTTGTTATTATCAGATTCTTATCATTTTCGAAAATACTCGATAAGCTGTGGCATTGGAGGCCTCGACCGATTTGTAAAGCACTCGGGTACGGTAAGTTGCTGGCACCGGTACAAGGGTACTCGTAATGTCGAAGCGTTTTTAAAAAGAACTGTTATTTCATCCCGCCCAGATCTGGGCGGGAAGGCCAATTTTTGGTGGTATGCAATAGCAGTCTTTCTAAAAACGCTTCGACATTAGAGTACGATCTTGGCGACAAAATTTGTCGGCACCTTGGCGGCTAATCCCATCTTCACATCTATGAATATACAATGTCTACCACAACCCCCTCAAAGACCACCCCACAAGGCGAGTGGACGACACCTGTCCGTGTAAGAGTACTCAAGTGGCTTTCACTTGGCTACAATAAAAGTGAAATATCTCGTGAAACTGGGGTACCTCGGCAAACAATTCAGAAGTGGGCACAAAACCTGTTAGGAATACTGGAATCCGATACCTAAGAACCACCCTAAGTAGGGTAACCCCTCTCAGAATCAGAATCCATAGTCTCCAACACCCTCCTCCAGCCCCCTTACAGGGCCTACATATCACCATATATATTGATCTCAGTTGTGTCCTGTAACTATAAAGTCACAGAATTAAAGGAGTAAGAATAACACCGTATTCATCACCACTGTCCATCTGACTAGATCTTTTTCACAGGATATATGTAAGGGGACCTTCGGCTAGGTCTGGGAAATGTAACGGAGTAAATCTGTCAACTACTCAGGAAGTTACTAGGCTTCAAAGATGTGACATCTTTGGCATGGGCTATAAGTAACAGGAAGTTTTCGTGTAAAGATATGGTATTGAATAATAAGGGATCTCAATAAGAAACCAATACATTCGCATCCACCCTACGATAACTACAAGAATTCAGAACTCCGAGGAACACTACAGCAGGAACCAATAGACTTCATGAAGTATTACAACTAGGTTTTGGAATACGTTGTAACCATGGAAATAAACACCAATACTAAAACAATGATTGAAAGCGTACTACCTAGAGCAATCAAGGGTTGTCGACCATGGGATTATCTGTTAGTCTAGTGGAATAGCTCCCTACGAATTAGTAGGAAGTTTTCTGGAAGATATCTATTGGTTGGGTAGGAAGTTATGAAGGTTTGAAGTCAGACGGCCTAGAAAGATTGTAATGACGACAACCTTTGCAGATACAACCCGCAGATGAAACTGATCATTTTATCAATGATGCAGACAATTGGTGTTTAACTTGAGAACTAAGGCCATAAGTCTAATGACTCTGATAATTGGATAATTACTATTGGGAACAGCATGGTTCCTAGATAGTTATATCGTAATTATCGAAGAGAGTGTAGTGATTTTCAAGGTCTTCAGGTGTTATCACCTTTGAAGAATACCTGACATTGCAAATTACAATAAGAGAGGTACATAGTTGTATAATAAATGGATGCAGTCTACAAACACTCAGACGCAGAATATAAATATTGTAGTGTCTCTCAAGCTTTTAGATATCATCAAGTAATGGAGAAGAGATGTTAACAATGAAATATAGTTTTTACAATTCTATCTTACTTTACCTATTTTACTTCGCTCTTAGTAGTCATAAATAAAATAAGTGAATTTGAGTCTTCTTAGACAATCTCCATCTATAGAAATTAATGTTGGTTGGACTAGACAACTCTGAAGTCTATCAGGTTGTCTCTGCCTAACAAAACCGTACTCTTGACATACTAGCAAACAGTACTCTGGCCGCTGATACCTACTTACACAAAGCGATGTTTAATATCTCATTTATGTTTTGCAACACAACTGGGAGAGAAGAAGGCTGTATTGGAGGAAGTTAGCTCAAGAGGTGGGATTTGGAGTTTTGGGAAGAACTGTTCAGTGAGTATTAGAGGCTGAAGGATATACACGCTACAAAGCCTGTAAAAAGCCTTTCATCTGCTGGGATGAACAAAGGGTACATCTGACCTACGTGATCGACCACATCTAGTGGCCAAAGTAGTATTAGCGGTCCTATATTTAAAGTGACAAGGTTACTTTTAATACGTCCCGTAGAGGATCAGTATGGGTAACACAGCGATCAGATGAGCACTACCACAAGGACTGTATTCAACAAACTTTCAATAGTGGTGGTGCATCGGTCCCAGTCTGGGGTACCATTAGCCACAACTGGAAATCTCTTCTTGTCTTCCTAGAACCTATGGAAAAGCACGGAATTACGACTATTAACTATCAACAATAAGTACTCAATCCTATCATATCGCCAGCCTTTTATGGCTACCTGGTTGGGTATTCACTGTCTTCTAATAGCCTGTTTGTGGAAGACCAAGTGCCATAGCATGGTACCTAGAAGGCCATTGTCACGAACATGGCTTGGCACGGAAAAGGTTTTCACATGACACATGGTTATGAGTCACCGGTATGTTATTGTTTTACTCATATGACTCATTCGGGTTATATGGTTTGTTATCTGTGGGATTTGTGATGCTTTCGCACATGGCTCAAATATGAGCCATGGGAAGTGTGCCTGACGAGGATGCCTTGCGAGTGTGCCTTGTGGGTAAACCTTGTGCATATGATTTATGTTTCGCACATGACCTTGTTATGAGGTCATGGGTTTCGCGCATATGACTCGTTTATTGTGTTATGATTGGTTTATGAGTTTTTACACATGACCTTGCTATGAGGTCATGGGTTTTGAGCATGTGATCACTTTGGTCACATGACTAGTTTGTTATAATTTGGTTTCGCACATGTGACCACTTTAGATCACATGACTATTGGCGAGAAGAATACTATATAAGGAGGCCGATGTGGCTGAGGAAGATAGGTTCTTTATGCTTTGTTCTAAGTACTTTTCCTACTTATTACTTTAACGAATATAAAACATCTTTACGATCTTTATCTTTGTTGCACCGTTATTGTTACGCCAAGAAAGGTCCTTCATGAAGACAACTTAGAGAAAGCTTACGATAGGCATTCCTGATAGAAGACAAAGGTCTTGTACTATCGGTAACATAGGCAGAAGCCTAGAGCTATTGTAAGACAAAGAAAGAAGAAGACAGAAAGAGAAGTATCGTTTCCCGTCGCCAAGAACTAACTAACCAGAGAGGGATCGTTACATTACAAAGCGTCACCTATGTGCGACGCCAAACGATACAAGACGGCATCCTTCAATCTAGACAGGGAAGGAGATATCGACATCGATGATCAAAACCTTTACCTGGGAGGATTCAGCGACACCTTAGATCACGTCTCAGCAGAACTCTCGAGAGCAGCAAGCTCAATGACCCCAGAGAAAGGATTACCAATTGATAGCTCTCCTGCAGGAACTCCACGACCCAAGAGAATGTCGGGATCCGCAGTACCTGGGCCATCAGCCCCAGCCGCTCTGGCACCAGGAACCAGCATACTTGGAATGACTGAAAATCAGTTTCAGGCATCTCTCGCAGCCACATGAAATACAGGGCAAGGAAATGTCCAAAGACTGTAAG